TCAATTCCTGGTGCCTTGTTCTTTGCCAATTCCTTCAATGTACTTTGGACTTCCTCCCTGAGTATCATTGGCTCTTGTTCATATGATACCTCTTGAAATGGTTGAACATTAACCATTTCCTTTTGGTACAACGACTCTATGTATTCCTTCCACCTTTTCTTGATGCATTCTGCATCATTCAATAATTTGCCCAGAGAATCTATACAGGGTTGCTTTATAATTGGTTGGAACCGACTCAATGGCACTTACCAACAACAACACGTCAGAATTGACTAAATACCAGTGGGTTTGTTTTTGGGTAATCTAGGTAGAGCTGTGAAGTTGGCCCACGATCAGGCAGTTTCATTCTGTTGTGCTAAATAGGGTCACTATGAGTCGGTACTGACTTGATGGCACCTAACAACAACAGCAACACGTAGAGCTGTGGACTGGATGCAAGGTCAGTAGTTCAACCCCAGCAGCTGATCCAAGGGAGAAAGATGAGGCTACTTGTCCATATAAAGGTTTCGAGTCTAGGGGAAGCCTTTATAGTGTTCCTGTGAGTCTGAATCAACTTGATGGCAGTGAGTTTGATTTTGGTTTTGGGTTAATGCATTTCTGAACCCTAAATGCCTATTTTATTTTATCTTAAGACCATTCAGTACCAGAACCCAGTGCAAAACAAGTTAATTGCCTTAAAACCTACTTTGGCCATTCCAGTTTTAAGCCGTAAGTATAATCTTACTTAATTAAAACATATGTTTAATACTAACAGTGTAGCTTCACTATACTATCCTTGCTGTATTGCATTTCCTACAAATGACTACAAAGTTATTTTGAAGTTACGAGGGAGCTTCAAAAAGTTTGTGGAAAAATGGTATCAAAAGGTTATGGAATTCTTCTATGTTCTTTTTGAGCCCCTTATAGTCATATAGAATTTATTTCTGTGAATTGTTTTTTACAAGTGAGAAAATGGTTTTCTTTTAGCATGTAGATGTTCTATATAGACACCAATTTAAATATATTAATAAGTGAGCTTTATTTTAACGTTGATTTGTTTTTTATTGACTAGATGTCTTATGCATTATATTGCCCAAAACATAAGAAAACAGTTTTTAGAGCAGTGACAGTGTTATCGATTTGAACACATTCAAATGTATTTTTGTCAAAAGGTATAATAATATTAAAATGAGATGAAAAAAGGTGACTAAGTATAATTACTATGAATGACTAAAATTACTATGAATATAAAAATCTTTCCTATTTTTAGAATTTAAATTTCATCTACAGAAGTATTTTTCTTTTGATCTTAAATTTTTTATTTTAATTAAAGCGTGTCTTCCAGATGTGCACTAATGTACAGGTACTGAATTTTCACAAGTTGAGTACCATGTATAACTAATACTTAGATCAAAGATATATTTAGATCAAGGATGATCATTATCAGTAAGAAAAAGAACTCCTATGCAATTGATTTTACCCTCAAAATTCTACCAAGAGTACACACGGTCGACAAGGATGGGCCATTTAGACATTGGCTACCCCAAATAGGGAGATTATAAAGGCAAGAAGTGACTGGCTTACAAGCTTTCAATATGGAACCTAATTCCAGAGGGAATAGGGAAAGGTAGAATCTCCACTGAGTGGTTTCCAACCTGTCTGGACAGGGCTGATGAAAGGTGATGGGGATAAGACTCTTGTGG